GGAGGGCACTGCTCCCCACCGCCCCGATCTTGCAAATGCTGCGGCTGACCCGAATATAAAGTAGAAAGGCCGGTGCGGCGGAGCTGAATAAACCGGACTTGCAGCCTCAATATCCTCATCTCGCCAGCTGATGGGCGTGTTACGGTTAAATGTTACTGCCCCGCCCACTCGAGGGCATACCCTACCCTCCTGTGGACAGTTCCCCATCCCAACGGCAGAGCCTGTCTGACCTTATCAGAAAATTTAATACGTGCTCGTTGCCATATTTCGCTTTGTAAAGATGTTTACTCCTGTTTATCCTAAGCTTCTTGAGAGCTGAGACCTGCCTTCCACTTGTGTCTCTATATCGGACAGGGTTTGGAACACGTGGCAAGCATTTAACAAGTTCTTGTTGGTTATTCCTAGGGAGGGAGAGCCATTTCTTCAGGAGCAAACACCTTTGCATCCTATTACCGGGCTCCGGACAGAGCCCGTAATTCGTTCCTCAGTGATCCTTAAAGAAATTCAGTGAATACCAACATTGATCAAATGGCAAATAGTCAACAATATTTTTATTTAAGTCAAATACTGTTTAATATGCATTTTTAAAAAGTGTTTTACTACCTTAAATCGACACTATTTGCCATAGATAGGTTACTAAAATATATATATTTCTAAATCAGCATTTTTAAATCGGAGCTAGATACTGTTACCCTTGATAGTGTGAGGCATATAACTTTATTAAAGAGGGAGTTCTGCCCTGGCTGGTTTGGCTCAGTGGATGGAGCGTCAGCCTGTGGACTGAAGGGTCCCGGGATGTATTCCAGTCAAGGGCACATGCCGGGGTTGCAGGCTTGATCCCCAGTGGGGGGCCTGCAGGAGGCAGCCGATCAATGATTCTCTCATCATTGATGTTTCTCTCCCTCTCCCTTCCTCTCTGAAATCAATAAAAATAGATTTTTTAAAAAGTTCTGCAAGTTTTACATACATGTTAAAGACAGATTTTTCTCCTCAATGCATCAGAATTGAAAGAATTAAAAAGGAAATTTCTCAGTATGTGACTCATGTCAATATTGCATTGTTTTGCTTCTAAAATAATTTCTTATAGAATTGGTGGTAGAAATCCTACAAAATAGGAGACAGTGAAAGACATGAGTGATTTTTAGTTTGTCACTTGATTATTATTTATTTACAATCTCAAACTAGCTCCCTTTCAGTGTGTTACTGGCTGGCTGATGTTTATTATTATCAGTTCTTCAAGGTTTTTTTTTTCCACCCTTCAGGAAAGAAGAGGTTACTCAAAGAACTTCTGAAGTAGAGAACCCAGTTGTGAGTTTTTTTATCAGCTCTCAGGCCGGAATGGCTGTGGAATCCAGAGCCGTTTCAACCCTGCTACCTCCAGACCCTCAGGAACGAGAACTAATACTAGTGAAAGAAGAAGAAAGCCCTCCCTGGGGGCAGACATTAAAGCAGAATGGGAGCACCCGGTCTTGCCAAGAATTGTTTCGCCAGCAGTTCAGAAAGTTTTGCTACCAGGAGACCCCCGGGCCCCGGGAGGCCCTGGGCCGCCTCCAGGAGCTGTGCTGGCGGTGGCTCATGCCGGAGCTGCACACGAAGGAGCAGATCCTGGAGCTGCTGGTGCTGGAGCAGTTCCTGAGCATCCTGCCCGAGGAGCTGCAGGCCTGGGTTCAGCAATATGGCCCAAAAAGTGGCGAGGAAGCTGTGACTCTGTTGGAGGATTTGGAGAGGGAACTTGATGATCCCGGACAGCAGGTGGGGACTAGGAGATGCACTATGTTGTGGGGAAAGGAATTTACACACTGGAGCATGTGGTGTCATAACAGTAGCATGAAAATTTGTCTCTACTGAACCATGACCCTGACGTGACAACGAGAGCCATGCCCTTCTCTACCATAAGTAGTTATTTTTCCCTTGTCCCTCATGCCCGGGGATGTCTTCGTTAACCTCTGAGATTTTTACTAAGCGTTTCCCTAGGGATTTTCTCACCACGCTAACCATATTTTACTGGTTTCAGATTCCAGCTAGTCCGCAAGGACAAGCATTACCCTGGAAGGACTGGACACGTCTTGGAGCATCCCAAGAGTTAAGCATCCAACTCCAGCCGTTAAAGGCACAGCTGAAACCTTGGGAACCTTGCCTTTCCTCCCAAAGTGGTAAGAAACAGAAACTCATCTGGGAACTGTTATCAGTTAGGCCTCTGGCCTTGAAGATACACAGTGAATTGCATTTTGCAAACATGCCACATGTAAGCCTCACCTTTATTATTCTAGGCCAGAGGTGCTCTGACCTAGAATTTAGCCACTTTGTATTCAGCAACCTTCACAAATCACCGTCAGGCTTCCTTGTGTCAGTTTCCCTGTTGTTTCTTTACTTATTCCTTCATTATATATCTTACCTGGATACTAATACATGTCTGATATGGTGATAGGCACTGGGTCTCTATCTTCAAGGAACTTTCAGGTTTATGTACGTGGTGGACAAGCAAAAAGGCAATTGCAGTATAGTGTAGTAAATTATAGAATAAGAGTAGGCACTGGGCACTATACCCAATCTTAGCGGTTCAAGGAATAATTCTTAAAGACACATCTAAGACTTGAACTAGAAGTGGGAAGAAGCCAGGTAAATAGGTGGGAATATAGGCTAAAGGAAAAGACTCTCTCAATATTTCTGACACTGGATGTATGAGGTTTTCCCTCACCGTAAGCAGTTCTGACACTAGCTCCCCAAAATGAGTGCAGATCCCACAGATTAAGGTTTCAGTCCAACAAGACTGACCCCCACTACAGATGCCGATTGCATGTAATGAGTCCAGGTTACCCACACATCTGACTTTTGTGAACTGGCAGTTCCACAACCCCTCCTGCGGTTTCATAATTTGCTTGAATGGCTCACAGGACTCAGGGAAACACCTTACTTACTACTACTGATTTATTACAAAGGGTGCAGATGAACTAGCGGTACACAGGGTAAAGTCCAGGAAGGTCCGGAGTGCAGAGCTTCCGTAGCTGTGAAGTTTGGGGTGCCATTCTCCTGGCACTTGGATGCATTCACCATCCTGGAAGCTCTCTGAACCCCTTCAAGGTTTTTATGGAGGTTTCATTACCTGGGCACAATTGATTAAACCATTGGCCCTCGATGATTAGCTAACTCAACACAGCCCTTCTTCCTGAAGGTCAGGGAATGGGGCTGAAAGTTCCAATGTTCTAGTCACTTGGTCGTTTCCGATGGCAGTCAATTCACTTATTCCCTCCTTATTGGCTATAGGTGATGCCATCTTTGTGACAGAGTGAGGGTCAATTAGTATATTCCTTCTTTATTAGATAGTATCACACAAGCAAAGGCCGCACAGTCCTGAAGGTGAGAGACTATAGCCCATTGTGGGGGTTGCAGAAAATTCAATTTAACTTGAACAGAGAATTTATAGAAGAGAGGTGGTAAGAAAAACTAGACAGGAAAATGGGACCCAGATTGTGGAAACCTGTATGTCATTCTACTTAGTTTATACAGTGCAGTGGGTACATATGAAGGGATTTGGACAAGGGAATGACATGATTGGGTGTGTGTTTTAAAATTTAGTTGCAGGATGGAGAATGCATTTGAAGGTAAGAGTAGATAGAGCCCTGTTAGAATCTGTTATAATCAAGTGGCCACGGTGAATAAATCAAGGTGTATTGTGGTGAGAGGTGGGGAATATCAAAGCCGACTCCTGCTTATCGGTATTTATTGTATTGCAGTAGCTGGTCATTGTTAAAGTGGAGCATGTGGCTAGGAGTTGAGGTTTCAGGTTTCAGTCTTAAACTGTGTGGTTAATAGTGGGCCTATTTCATATACATGGAAAACATAAAGGAAAAAACACACAGATGATATATTTAGGTGCTTGTGAAATATTCACAAGTAATATGTCGAGTCAGCATTGGATATGCAAGTCTAGAGCTTACCAGAGGAAACAGGATAGAACTGGGGATCTGATTAGCGTATAACATAAGTACATTAGTAATTGAAGTCTAGGGGATGGACATTTTGTAGACTGGGGATGATACATGAGAGCCCAGCACAAAATTTGAAGGAACTCATGTTTGAGTGGTTGGTCTTAACTCTGAGAAGAAACAGCCACAGAAATCAGGCTAATATAGCTGTTTCTAGAAGGGAGGAGGTGTCCACAGAGTCAGTGTTAGAGATATATGTGAATAGTGACATCTTTTGTGGTTGGAATATCTGTTTTCTCTCACATAGAAAGTGAGTATTGAGAGTGATTGGAGAAACTAAAAATCTGGTTTCTGCTATTATCATTTCAGATTGTGAGAACAATGGATCAGCGGCAGAGAAGGATATTTCAAGAGGAAAAGCAGGACTTCTCCAGGAACTCTCATTCGGAAGAATTAGTGAACACAAAAGCCACTTCAAGAGGCTGCAAGGAAGTGCTTCAGGGGAGAACTTAGGAAGCTCCCCCTCCCCAGCAGCCATCACACACAGATCTCTAGGCAAGAGATTCCACCAGGAGCCGCAGAGAAGCCTGATTCTAAGTACAAGCTCTAGAACATTTCAGAAAGTTCCTACGGAAGAGAGACCTCATAGATGTGATGTATGTGGGCACAGCTTTAAACAGCATTCCTCTCTAACACAACATCAGAGAATCCATACCGGAGAAAAGCCCTACAAATGCAGCCAGTGTGGGAAGGCCTTTAGCTTGAGGTCGTATCTGATTATTCATCAGAGAATCCACAGTGGTGAGAAAGCATATGAATGTAGTGAGTGTGGAAAAGCCTTCAATCAGAGCTCGGCCCTCATTAGACATCGGAAAATTCATACAGGTGAGAAAGCTTGTAAGTGTAATGAATGTGGCAAAGCATTCAGTCAAAGTTCCTATCTCGTCATCCATCGAAGAATTCATACTGGTGAGAAACCCTATGAGTGTAATGAGTGTGGGAAAACCTTTAGCCAAAGCTCAAAGCTTGTAAGACACCAACGAATCCACACAGGAGAGAGACCTTATGAATGTAATGAATGTGGGAAAGCGTTCAGGCAGAGCTCGGAGCTGATAACCCATCAGAGAATACATAGTGGAGAGAAGCCCTATGAATGCAATGAGTGTGGAAGAGCCTTCAGTTTGAGCTCAAACCTCATTAGACATCAGAGAATTCATAGTGGAGAGGAACCTTATCAGTGTATTGAATGTGGCAAAACATTCAAAAGGAGCTCAGCCCTTGTTCAGCATCAGAGAATCCACTCTGGGGATGAGGCTTATATATGTAATGAATGTGGGAAGGCTTTCCGGCACAGATCAGTCCTCATGCGCCATCAGAGAGTCCACACTGTAAAGTAACTGGTGAATACAATGAATATTGTAAATACTTCTGTCAAATGTGTATGTTTGTTAATCAAAAGGGTTTACTGTGAGCAAGACTCCATGAAGGTTGTGAACTCCTAGGTCTCGAGTCAGTCTGACTTTATGCAGCACTCCCCTGTGTGCATGCACATTGTCCCTTGAAAGCTTTTCCTGTGATTAGTCAGAACAGTAGATGGAAGAATTGTTGCTTCCTCCTTTTTTCTTCTCATTAGGAATACTCAGGAAATAGGAACAGTGGGACTTTTGCATTTAAACCTCAGTTTCCAGGAGAATGTCATGGAGAGGGTAAGCAGTCCATGCTGTCACTGCGTCTGATCGCTGGTGTGCCAGGCTTGGGGGACGGTGTGGACAATATGAGGGACGTTTTGTCTCAGGAATGCAAAAGTTTACTAATCAATTAAGAACAGTGACAGGACAGCAAGACCTACCGATAGGGGAACAGTTTCATTAGTGAGCCCAGGGCTGACCAGAGTGAGACAATAATTCAGATTATTTATCCAGCAGTTCTTTTTGAGTGCTTGCTTTGTGCCAGGAACTAGGTATAATGGAAAATAAAGACATTTTATACAGCCATTAAGGAGTCCCTAACCCAACCTTGGTCAAGGAAAAATGATCTGAAGGATGAGGGAGAACATAGACACAGGCCCGGAAGAAAGTCTGAGAAATTAAAAGTCCCCTTTGTGGGGAGCATGCCGGGTGAGTTCCTGGTGAAGTAGAGTCAGGTTTGTAAGACGTGTGGAAGCAGTGCCCACAGTAAAGTAGGAGCCAGGAAAAGCTTGTTAATAGAAAAACCCTGGAGTCCTTGGACCACGGGGTGGCAAGTTTTGTCTTCATCTGGTGTGACCCAGAAAAAGGGTTAATAAGTAGTTTCCTTGCCCTACCTGTAGGCTAGACATTTCGTGGGGGTGGGGGTGGGGCCAGAAAGACCCCAGCCTGGAGGTTGAGAGTCTCTAAATGTCCCTCCCCCAGACAGAAGGACATCTTTGGTCCTTAACAGTAAGCCTGACAAAGCTGCTATCAACTTCCACCTTCCAGTGCTCAGGATCAGAAGCTGCTATGGCTACCATATCTCTGGGGGCTGCACCCCCACAGTTCCTCCTGCACTGCCTTGGGCTCTGGTGCTGAAGAATATTTGTCAGTTGCTGGGTCTGTGACTTATTCTCCAAGCACCTCACACACAGTTAGTTTTGTTTTATATCAGCAGCATTCAGTCTCATGAATTCAGTTCAAGACAAAGCTAAAGGGAAGTGGCAACAGTCATGGTCCATCCAGAGAGTCCCATCTTCTGAGGGACCCGGCAGGAAAAGTACCCCTAGACTGGTACTTCTCTACAATGTGGAAAGGGGTATAAGCTAGCCAGCAACAGAAAAACATGTTATTTAAAATACCTTTTGGCTAAGATCAAGTGTAGTATCTGTTCTTATCAGTTTAAAATACCTAACGGTTATCACTCACCAAAAAGAGAAACCTATGGGCCTGCAGAGGATAAATAGAGAGGCAGTACTCCAGTTGGGGCATACGCAGATGAGCGTGTATTAA